TGATGACATAATGACCTATCGCAATATCCCGGTATAACAAAAATCTCTACCGTTGGCCAAATTTATACCGCATACCGCTTATACCGTTTATACCGCCCAGCCCTAGTCCGTAGCTCGTGTCCAGGTATGAGCTGTGTAGCTGTAAGGCCACACTCCATTTTTAACTAATCAATCGGCTGGCTTGTGTTTAGTCGACCAAGAATGTCATTGTTCGACCAAAGCCGTACTTGGCAGAATGCCAGGCAGAGCCAGGGTCCTATGATCTACTTTGCAGACATTCATTCTCTCTTGAGCAAGATGGATGCGGGTCCTGTCCAGACCCAGCACGAGGCCTAAAAATATTCTGTCTTTGTCTTGTTTTACTGCACCAAATATTTGAATTGTAATTTTGTATCAATTGTATTTTATGTATTGTTTATTTGTCTTTAGTGCATGTTGAAGACTATACTTTGTGTTCCACTGTGGTTTAGCTGCAAATGGCAAAATAAACTTTTTTGGCATATTTCTTGAACAATAATTACATTTACGCACTGACGGTCTCCCACACTTTTGGCCAGCACAACAGTGGACTTTGAAGGGAAATTATGGGCTCTAACCTCTGCGAGTCCAAGCTTTTAACAACTGAACTCTGTCCAAACAAAATGGCCAGGCGTCCTGCTGTAGTGCCTCTACTGTTTACAAAGCTTTCTCAGCAGAAAAACACTACAGTAATTTAATTGTCACCGGTGTGTTGCTTGTTGGATGGGATCAGGGCTTGTCTTGCCTTGGCTCAAGAGCTCGTCATGGCCAGGCAGAACTGAGTGGACTTTGGCCACTCTGACCAAACTGGATTAGAAGGTGAGAACGTTTACTGGGTCACAATTGGAGATTGTTTAAGTTCACATTGTCATGGGCTTTTTTTTTCCACTTTCAACACAACCATATTGAACTTCAAAGAAAAAAAATTCTACAATATAAATCCTAAAACATGAAAAATATTGTTGATCACAGTGAAATATGGTAGCCGGATGCTTTTAGAACATGTACACATGACATTTGCAGATACTATTTTTAAATTATGCAATATAAAAATTATGATTCTGATATTGATGTTTTGTCGTTTGATTCAATAATGCAATTCTGAAAAAGGTATATGCTTAAAATATGCTTAAAATACCTTAAAATGTGTTTTTCGTTTAAGGTGGAGTTCTTCCTGTGGAGAAGTTCAAGTGTCTCGGGGTCTTGTTCACGAGTGAGGGAAGGACGGAGCGTGAGATTGACAGGCGGATCGGTGCAGCGTGCGCAGTGATGCGGTCGCTGTATCGGACCTTTGTATTAAAGAGGGAGCTGAGCCAAAAGGCAAAGCTCTACATTTACGGGTCAAACTTCGTTCCCTCCCTCACCTATGGTCATGAGCTTTGGGTAATGACCAAAAGAGCAAGATCGCGGATACAAGCGGTCGAAATGAGTTTGCTCCGCAGAGTGGCTGGGCGCTCCCTTAGAGATAGGGTGAGGAGCTCAGTCACACGGGAGGAGCTCGGAGTAGAGCCGCTGCTTCTCTACGTCGAGAAGAGGACCAGTTGAGGTGGCTCGGGCATCTGTTCCAGATGCCTCTTCCGGGCACGTCCCACCGGGAGGAGACCCCTGGGTAGACCCAGGACACACTGGAGGGACTATGTCTCTCAGCTGGCCTGGGAACGCCTTGGGGTCCCCCCGGATGAGCTGGAGCAAGTGTGTGTGGATAGGGAAGTCTGGATGTCTCTGCTTAGACTGCTGCCCCCGTGACCCGGCAATGGATGAAGCGGAAGAAAATGAAATGGAATGGAATTTAACTAGACGAATGTTGAAATAAATAGATAAGAAAATCTTTGAGGATTTTTACAAATAGATGGTTGCATTCATATTTGCATATAAATCAAAATAAACCCAGAAGTGAGTTTGATTTTGTTTTGTTGTTTATAGATAGTCTGATAGTTTCACATGTGTCACTGAGATAAATGAAACTGCTTACATGGCACTGGTATGAGTTTGACTTGAGGCATGATGGTGTAGTGACAAGACTGAGATTGATTCAAGGACAATCAATCGATTGATTGATTAATTGATTGGACTTCTTGTCCTGGTTCTTCTTTGGCTTGTTTTTGTTTTTACTGTGTATGAATGTGTCACTGAGACTGCCGGCTTTGAGTGTTGGGATAATGGGGATGTGGTAGTTTTAAAAGGACCATAGAGCACATGTTTGAATGAAAAACACTTAATTAATATGTTTTTATTGACTGATTAATCTATGGATTGGCCCCCCACATGGGGTCAATAAGATTAACATACTGACAGAATATCAATCCCATTCTGCCATTGCGATTATATGGTCTGTCTAGTTAGATTTCTTTGAGAATGAATCCTAAACTACAAATATGTGTAAAAACTGGGCATGATAGATCAGAGCACGCTCCATTATCCATAATTAGGGGAAGTCCCACCTTGGCTTTTCTGAATGAATAGAGTGTGTAGGTCGTCTACACTGTGCCTTTCAAGGTGTTTTCGGCTCTAAGGTGGCCCATTAATTCAAGTTAATTGAATCAATGCTGTTTTTCTGTCCGTCCCGGGAGTGCAAGGTGGTAATAGTTCCAAGCACAAATGTATACTGCTGCTGTGTTCATTTCACAGAGAAAGGCACTATGGCTAGCTGCGTTGAAAATGGATGCTTCTCCAAATGGCATTGGATTGTGACTGGTCCAAATATTGCAGTGTTTTGTTTACAACCAGATGTGGCCTCTTGATGTGTTCCTATTCCGCAGCTGTGTCCAGGGGTTTGTTTCTGCTTCAAAGCATGAGAGGGAGAGCAAGCCGATAAATTAATATTTATAATGTATACTATTTAGTACATACAAGCATAAATCAATATTATTTTAATTTATTGACTTCTTTATTTATCACTTACAGTATTTATTTCATTGTTGAAAATCCCAAATATCGTTTTTAATTTCTGTTATCAACCAGAAAAAACTTGAAGAAGTTTCACATGGCACTATTCAGTCACTTTGTATATGGTGGTGATAAACTACTATTGACTGACTTCTGAAGGGACTGGTTCTATCTCAGATTGCCACCCTCCTGACCCAAAAAATGATTTTAAAGGGGTGAAAATGAACTAATGACTTCTGAGACAACCAGTCTTTGCATTCCGACCATCACCAATCGCACCAGATTTGTACAATGCAATGTACTGTTTAGCCTAAGAACAGGCACCCGGTGTTCCCAGAGGTCTCTCATCCCAGGAATTGATTCAGTGTCTCTGAATTGGGCTGTATCCAATAATTAGGGTGAGAATAATTCCTAAGCTACTCCTTTTGCTCAGCCTATGTAGATGGATTTAAGGGGATTAATATATTTACACCCCTGAAGTTGGCCTGCATTGGTTATTATATAGCAGAGTTGCCTTAATATCAGTTGGCTCGAGAAATTGATAGTTGATATTCAGTGTGGAGGGCTGCTATATGTCAGTCTCAGAGCAGCTTTAAAAGTTGCAATATTTAAATGCTGGTTGTGTTGTTATGAGTTTGTAAATGCAAATGTAGTTGCAGCTCCCCTGAAGGTTGAGTACTTTTAATTAGTGCATATTTCACGTGGGCAATGACAGCGAGAGTCTGCAGAGAGTCATTTTAGTTCCCATTCTTCTTTGTGCTCAATGCTGAGTGTAGCTGGCCCCATGCTCTGTCCATACATCACCTACTGCTGTAAGGCAACAACAATGGCCTGTCCATTGTGTCCACGTGCGTCTTCGGCTTTTCAGATACTCCTCTCATATTAGCCTTCATGCATCATAATTACGGACTCACATTAAGACCACAGTGCCATCTGTTTCATAATGGTAAGTTTTAAGGCATGAGGTCAAGAATCATTATATGTCTTTGCTTTGCCTTGAATGTTGTACAGCATGTTAGTAGACCCATCTCTCATTTATTCATTCTAGTATTGACTTCACTTAATTTATTTCTGGAATGTGAGTTGGTGATTGGGGGATTTAGTTGGATGGGCTTTTTTAAGATTCACGAAAGAACATTTCTATTCATTCTTGCTCTATCTCACTTTTCTTCTATTCAAGTCTGTATCAAGGACTCTTTTCTTTAAATTACTTTTAAATTATTTAAAAATAGCTCTGCCTGTCATTGTTCATTATTCTGAGCCTACCAGTTGATTTGAATGAATAATACATAAAATGTAATTCTTGCGCATGCATCTTCAACAGTTGTTTTAAATCAACAATGATGCTTAAAATGTTCAAAAGTTGTAATAGTGATCCGTGAATGTCAAAGCATACAGCAGTCAAAAGCATATCTTGGAGTGTGTGAAGTGCAGAGTCGTGTTCGGCTGGTGTGCACCGTATGAATGAGTCTGACAGTCACATGCCCTGATAAAGAACACTAATGGCCTCCGCTGTCACCCTATGTCATTTATGTAGTCACGCTGCCATGGAGTATGTTCACAGCTCTTGACACATCATCAGCCTGTGTCCATACCGTATCGTGCCTCCTTCTGTCGTGTGTGTGCCTGTGTGTCCTCTTTCTACCCTGTTGGTATGCTGCTTCACTCACACAAGCATATCTCTGCATGAATGTTGGTGACCAGCAGGGGGTGTAGTGCCATTTGACTCACCCACTGTATAATCTACACACTGGGCTTAAGTGCCTGTACTGAGTTTGGCCTCACTCACAGACTCTATAAAGGGAATTAGAATGACAACCTACACTACTGACTTATTTTTGTAACAATAATTTACTTATGCACAGTTTTCATATTTCACAAATTATGAATCTGAACCAAACACAGATCTTATAAAAGTTGTGGCTGTGAATGTGTCTATTTACCATTTAATGCGATCATTTTATGTTATTTACAATATACTGACTTCAATCTCCTGTCTCTCAATATGCCTCTTGAAATGCAACAGTCATCTGATCTGATTTCAAGCTTGTGCAATTCCAGGTGACTAACTTTCCTCTCTCGTCTTGCCCCTGCAGAAATGTTTGAAATTCAACGTGGACGCTCCAATATGGCTGTCCAAACAACGGATCCTGTGCAGCCTCAACCAGAGCCTGAAGGATGTGCTCAACTATGGCCTGTTTCAGCCTGCGTTCAACGGCAAAGCGGGGAAGTTCCTGGACGAGGAGAGACAGCTCCGAGAGTACCCATTTCCATCCATAGCACCGGTCCCTTACCTGGAGGTGAGATTGCTGCCCCGTGCACCTGCCATTCACCACAAACTGACCTTTCACAGAAAATAGTGTGTATCACTTATAATCATAGATGTTATGTTCAAATGCAGCATAAACATATATTTTTGAACTGTGAATAATGTTGGTGCAGAGCATCATGTTTCTGTTATGATCTGTCATTCATAGCACAGAGCACAGTGACATAGTGTCAGCAGCAGCTGTCGGTGTGTAATTGTAGGGCTGTATCATCCTCGTCATTTTTAGTTTTTGAATAACACACCTTTAGACTTTGAGTGTTCATCCAGGCAGGAAAGTAAATAGTGAGTGAGAAGACGTGTCCAAACACACGTCACAATGTGCTGGCACCTGCTTCTCAGATGTGAGATATTGATTGATCCCTGCTCTCCAGAAATCTACTCTGTATGATTGACAGCTTCAGGTGAGCTGCTCAGAAACCTTTGTTTTGCTGTGGATTACCCAATGGAGTAGAAGCACACATCCTGGCGAAGGCAGTTGCACTACACAGCAGTGAACAGAGCCTGGGAGGTCAATAGAATGCAGGAGATCCAGATGTCCCAGATGAGATGGCACATGTACAGCTGACTACATGACTACTTGTTTTATGGAATTAGAGAATTTTGGGTTAATCGAGACAACAGAATTATGTCTTTGTGTCTCTGTACCCTTACTTTGGTCATGGCACTTTTTGTTAATTCTCAGTGTGTGGATGGATTCCATGTGTGAAACGAATTAGTAATTGAAATGGCCATCGTCTGCCTTTCTCGACGGCTGATGCCCCTCCATGTGGAGATGAGACCGAAGCCCGAGCACAGCAGGAACCCCATAAACTTGTTCCTCATAACATATTTTTTCACACCTCCACAAAGGCTGTTTAATAGAGCAGAGGGCTCTGGCTGATCCTGATCCATATCATTTTGATTTCATATCAGAGAAGACATTCTATCCATGTGCACAGGACTGAGTGTAATCAGAACAGGAGGACAGGTTGTGATGCATTACAAGCTGTACCATTGTAACAGCTTTGTTATCTTTCTATTTTTCAGTTTCGCTACAAAAGACGAGTCTATACTCAAACCTACCTGGATGAAAAGCAGTTATCAAAGCTCCACACTAAGGTAATCCCATTCTCTTCATATCTGCCCCCATTTACCATTCAAGTTTAGTCGTGGGTTTTATGAGGAACGCTGTTGTATTCAGTAGATCGCATCATGCTTCTTCATTGCTTGTAATATAAAACAATCTCATGTTAGAAATGAAATAACGACATGAGATTATGTTGGGGTAGGTGTTGGCGAGATGAGTCATGCCTCCTGTATTTTGTGTATACTCAATTATATTTTTGTAATAAATTATAAATTACTACTTACTCGAAGGGCATGGAGTATTGCAATAATACTGTATTAAAAAAGGAACTGAAGTTCTACTTCCTTTAGTTTTAAAAGGTCGATTTTAAAGAATAAGTTGTAAGATGTATTTTTTTATGAATTTAGATACAGACTGTAATGTGCACTTTGCTCTAATTGCATTTTTTCTGCCATTGTTAACCTGTTCCTTAACCTGCTTTGTGCAAGTCCTTACGCCTTTTAATTGCCAGTGAGATCCTATTTATACCAAGTTTAACATGTACATTTCTCCATTGTGAAATCAATAAAGTGTTATCTTATCTTATACAGCGTGATAAGGATCAAAATCCCACCCAGAGCCATGTGCCTATGTTCCTTTAATAAACACCTGGACCTGTTTGAAGCTTGTTCCACAGTTAAAGTGCTGTTGTGAGCAGTGGCAACAGCATGAGATTACATGAGACCCTCTTGGGTTTGGAGAAATTGGGATCCAGTTTCCTCCCACTTTGTGTTTCAGCAGAAGTAGGGTCAACAATAACAGAAGTAGAGAGGACGGACACAGGGAAATCTCCACCCCCCGGCAAATCACAGGCTGACTTTGATAAATTTTCAACAGTAAGAAAACAAAGCAAATGTGCAATATACTGTACATGTTTCTTCAGTTACATAGATAGATACGTTGTTGATCCCTGTAGGAGAAATTCAGGTGTCCATAAGTACATCAATTATAACCATTTCTAACTAACTACCTAACAATAGTGAATATTTTTAATGGATGGAAAATAGAAATATATCATCAATTTGACTGAGATACTCAAAAAGGAGTACATTACAGTACTCAGCTCTGTTGTTTTAATGTTTTTTTTTTTCAACTAAAACAAGAGGGCTAAACTCTGACAGACAGCAATAGAAACTGAACATCCATCCATCCATTTTCTTCCCCTTAATCCATTCCTGGGTCAGGGAGGTGGCAATCAGAGATGTCACCCAAGTCACATAGCTGTCACATCCTGCAGGTGGTGAGTCCACAGGAGGATGGCTGCTCTGTCAGCGTGAGCTTAGCCTTGAACTTTCAGCGGGGGCTTTGGGCAAAGTGGGGTTAAGTGTCTTGACCAAGAACACAACGACACCTAACATCAGTGAGAGTTGGAGGAGAAGGTCTCAAGGTGGGAATTGAACCCACAACCTTCAGGCCTGAAGGCCAATGCTCTACCAACTGAGCTACTTACTAATTATATAATAAGTTAATTTCTGAGCTGCAGGAAATACAGTGGGGAAAAAAAAGTATTTAGTCAGCCACCAATTGTGCAAGTTCTCCCACTTAAAATAATGACAGAGGTCTGTAATTTTCATCATAGGTACACTTCAACTGTGAGAGACAGAATGTGAAAAAAACAATCCAGGAATTCATATTGTAGGATTTTTAAAGAATTTATTTGTAAATTATGGTGGAAAATAAGTATTTGGTCAATAACAAAAATTCAACTCAATAAATATAACCTTTGTTGGCCATAACAGAGGTCAAACGATTACTATAGGTCTTTGCCCGGTTTGCACACACAGTAGCTGGTATTTTGGCCCATTCTTCCATGCAGATCTTCTCGAGAGCAGTGATGTTTGGGGCTGTCGCCGCGCAACACTTTCAACTCCCTCCACAGATTTTCAATGGGGTTGAGGTCTGGAGACTGGCTAGGCCACTCCAGAACTTTCAAATGCTTCTTACGGAGCCACTCCTTCGTTGCCCGGGCGGTGTGTTTGGGATCATTGTCATGCTGGAAGACCCAGCCACGTTTCATCTTCAAAGCTCTCACTGATGGAAGGAGGTTTTGGCTCAAAATCTCACGATACATGGCCCCATTCATTCTTTCCTCAACACGGATCAGTCGTCCTGTCCCCTTAGCAGAAAAACAGCCCCAAAGCATGACGTTTCCACCCCCATGCTTCACAGTAGGTATGGTGTTCTTGGGATGCAACTCAGTGTTCTTCTTCCTCCAAACACGACAACAACAAGTTGAGTTTATACCGAAAATTTCTACTTTGGTTTCATCTGACCACATGACATTCTCCCAATCCTCTGCTGTAACTTCAGTTTGGAGGACAGAAGTGCTTCTTAAAGAAGAAGTTACAGGTCTGTGAGAGCCAGTGTTTGAAGTGACCAAATACTTATTTTCCACCATAATTTACAAATAAATTCTTTAAAAATCCTACAATGTGAATTCCTGGATTTTTTTTCACATTCTGTCTCTCACAGTTGAAGTGTACCTATGATGAAAATTTCAGACCTCTGTCATTATTTTAAGTGGGAGAACATACACCATCAGTGGCTGACTAAATACTTTTTTGCCCCACTGTAATTTGTTTTCAATATATTAATATGTGCTTTAAATATAAAACACAGGTTATAAACGTGTAAAGTTTATAAGCAGTGTTATATGTTGCGGCTCCAGACAAAGAAAAGGGTGCAAAATGGCTCTTTTGAGAACAAAGGTGAGCCCTGCTCTAATGAGTCAAAGGAAAAATGTAGGATTATGATTATCCATCCAGCTGCTGAACTGCCTGTGCAAAGTAAAATAGCTTCTATCTGCTAGTGCATGATATTTCAGTTTGCTGTCATGTACAGTTGTCACTATAACCTAAGTCTGTATCATACATAGCTTGTGGCTCTATTTGCAGTTTTGTTTGTATTATTTCAGAAATACAATTCAGCAGAGGCTGCCCTGTGTCATAGGTCAAGCGTTAACCTACTTCCCTGTTACACCGTCCTGGAGCCTCAGGCTCAAGTCTACAACATCATATATTAAAGAACCAAAAACAACTCATTAGAATGGCAACATTTTGTCTACTTTAATTGCTGTTATTTTTTATGTGATGGGTGGGAGGAAATGCCTGTCATATCTACTATTATTTTTTTAATAAGAACTTTACATCCATGTATTTTCTTCAACTTAATGCATTGCCGTGTTGTAGAGGCAGCCGCCTGAGCAGAGATGCCTAGACTTCCAGAACTAGAATAGTAATCATAATTCAGGAGAATAATTTATTTAATTAATAAAGATTTATTTTTTCATTCTTAAAGTCTTTTTCCATGACTCTTAGCATTTTTGGTTTAGGTTTATATTTTTCATTCTTGTTCCTATATACTGTAGCTCTTTTGTGAGTCTTGCGTTCATGCAAGTGACAAATGAGAGAGCGATTGGATTGGTCCATGTATTATCTACAAATGAGTAGAGCCCTGGGCCACTGAGATGGAGGGGGTAGGAAGCTGAAGCGGCAGAGATCATTTAGTAATGCACTATTTGGTAATATGGTCACAGGCACCAAGCCTTCCTGCGATGCGTCCTATCACACATCTACTATCAGTCCTTGTCTGCTAGACAAGAGAGGGCCTCTTTCACTTAAATATTATACTTTTCAATAAATGTAAAATCTACAGATATAGTGACATCAAAAATCATTGTGCAGTATGTAAGGCAGAGGACATGAAATGCACTTATATTGAACTATCATTTATTTATGTTCGCTTTAGATTGAAGCCAGACCAATGTTGAACATTTTCTTTTTATCATACTATTACAGTCTAGATCTTTTTTTACTAGTCTGTTAAAATATCTTCTTTGGTTTGGCTATTGTGATATTGCAATTGACAGTGCTATCACATACAGTGTTTGGTCACGCTTCAAAGTGGTTCCTGGAGATTCTCCCTCCTCTCAGCTCGTCCAGCCTCTCGTGCCTCTCTCTCTCTCCCCACTGTAAAAATCACCCCTCACCATCTCCCTGTGTGCACTCACACTGCCTTTGTGGGAGGGACAATGTGTTGGATGTACTTTGACTGAGAGGAGTAAAAGAGTGGGACGAGAGCCTGGTCTTGCATGGCCATGTGGATGATGTTTGGGTTGTGACGCTGACCTGGGAAATGGGCTCTGCTCTGGGGAGAAGGCCACCTGACAGAAGGAATGAAAGAGCTGAACAAGCCAGAAAGGCCAGGCTCAATAGTAAGGTAGCCACTTAATCTCATCATCTGCTTCCATTGGATTTAGGTGTAAAGACTGTTCATACTTTCCTGCATGCTCAGCTTTGCAACATTCTCATGCATCGTGCTTGTTGCTGTCGTTTTGCTCCACTGCTTGTTGGTTGCGAGAAGCACCGGTGCAGTCTTGTCTGAAACTCTGACAGAATGTTAATGCTTTTCCCCTGCGCCAGTTAACCTCCAGCATGTGTGAGTGTGTGTGTATATTCTAGCCTGGTGGTGAGGCGTCTCTGCACCTGTTTTGCTTGTTACTACTACTGGCACAGAGATCAAGTGATTGTTGGAGAGTGAGAGGTCCACATGACAGACAGTAGAGCAGGGAGTGGACAATAGGACAGTAGCTCCACCGGCCCCAGGCTGTCAGTAGCAGTCAGGCACATGGCAGCTGTCAGATGCATGCCCCGGAGCCTCACCTGACCAGTGCTGCACCGCAAAACTCTGCTCTAATCCAGTGAGTGTGTGTGCAACTGTCTGGGTAAATATCCACAATCTGGCTCTGTGAAGCTACAGCTAAGCCCAAAATGATCCATGCATCTTCATATTTTCACTTTCTTCCACAGTAACCACTTATGATGCAAAGTTAAAACACTAAAAGTACAGCACCGCAAAGGTCGTGCACTGGGGTTAGGCGAACATGGTCAACCATTGTTGATAATACAGTAATAATAATAATAATAGATTTTATTTATAACGCACCTTACATATGCAAAGAACATCTCAAGGTGCTTCAGCAAGTTTAAAACAT